TTCTAGTTATTGGCCACTTTCAGATAAATTGGGGTCTTGGCTGGCATCTTGGAATTTGAGAATTATCTGTTTTACTAGAGGGAAAAGGGGCCACTTTCTTCACAGATGTATGTTTCTGAAAAATCCTGTTGGATAGGACCATCACATCATTTTTCTCAAGTGGCTTCAGAATTGGCTCTGAAATGAGATGGGGTCTAAGAGACCTTCCTGCGGTTCAAGTGGGGCTTCCGGGAGAGTTGGTTACATCATCCAGCCCCTTCCACAAGGAGAAACCGGATCTACACCAGAGCAAGAACTCCAGAATCCCCACATAACCTTGACACTCTCTGCTGGAGACTCTTTTGGGGCAGGACTGCCTTTATAGCCTCAGACCCACCAGCTGTCACCGGGTTCTCTCTCTCCCCTGCAGGGTGCCATCTGGGAGAAAGAGCTGCATCTTGTTCACAGATGCTGCTGAATAAATGTTTGTTGAATGAATAAACAAATGAGAAAGCTGTTTGAAAGAGACTGCTGCAATTCTTCCACTTCGCCCCTGAGTGCCCTGCTGAAATTTCAAGGCAGAGTCTTTCTATGAATCCAGAGCCTCAGAGAGTCCCAGCCCCGACGCCTCCCGCGGGCGCACGCAGCTCCAGCTGGTGCGCGCAGCTGCAGCCAGGTCGGCGGGCGCGGCGCCTGCTCACAGCATTATCCGCTCCCAGACGGCGTGAAGGCGCCCCAGGCCTGCGGCCGGCCGGGTCTCCAGGCTGGGCCCCCTGCTTCGCCCCACAACCGCGCTCCCGCCCTCTCGGGCCCCCGCGGCCGCGAAAGAAGCTGCGAGCGAGACTCCAGGTCTTTCTTAAATAGAATTTTGGTTTATGTTCTTTGACCCGCATAGATCAATTCGAACATTTAAAATTGTAGACTATTTGTGAAAGTAACATCATCAAAACATGGGAGCAATTTATTGAATTAAATCTTCTTTTGAATTAATTATTGAATTAATCTCAGTTATTTATTAAATATTTCCATGATCAGTTTTGCCAGTCTGAGTAACAAAAAGAGTAAGTTGGGTTTGTCTTTATATAGAGCTTAAAAATGAAATAGGGAGCATTGCAGAAAGAATATAATAAATCTGACTGTCATGTACTCACCATACTATTTAACTTTCTGTCATTTTGCTTCAAACACTACCTCTTTTCTTCCCTCCTGAGACATAGTTCTTATCCTGAAGTGTGTGTGTGTGTTTTACTCCCATGTATATTTTAATTTTTTCTACATATGAATGTATCCATAAAAATCAACATTATAATTATATATTGCATATGTAGTCTAAAAAGTGCTTTTTTCACTCAACATTTTTAGACTTATCTGTGCTGATACACATACATGTAATTTTATTTCATTTTTATTCCTACATGCCAATTCATTATAAATATGAATATAATTATCTAGCCTTCTACTGACAGGAAGTTGTGTTGTATTAATTCACATGAGATCGAAAAAGATTCTCAAACTATTGTAATAAGAATCCGCCTATGTTAGAGGTTTTTATACCTTTTTGAGCAAAGGATAGAGGAAATCCTGAAGGGTCTCTTCTGAATTATTAAATAAATAAAGAAGCTTGGACAAGTAATTTTACATTTCAGAAAAGAGAGAAGTCAATTTATTGTTATCAGAGCAATAAATCATCATTAATATTTAAAACTTATCAGAACTGCTAACTTTCAGGGGTTAAAAGCATTGCAAACAACCTCTGGAATCCAGTTACATTCAAAAATTATTCCAATAATTATTCCAATTATCCAAAAATTATAATTATCCAAAAATTATTCCAATTATTCCAATTGTTCCAATAATTAAGAAGCCATTGAGGCTCGGCGCCTGTGGCTCTAGGGCCCGCCAAACAACAATGATGGCTGCAACCAAAAAATGGCCAGGTATTGTGGCAAGCGCCTGTCCCAGCTACTTGGGAGGCTGAGGCAGGAGACTCGCTTGAGCCCAGGAGTTGGAGGTTGCTGTGAGTGTGATGCCATGGCACTCTACCCAGGGGGATAGCTTGAGGCTCCGTCTCAAAAAAAAAAAAAAAAAAAAAAAAAGAAGCCATTGAGAGTTCTTTAAGTGAAGTACCTGTTAAAGTCTTTTTACGGCTTTTTAATTGAATTGATTGCCTTTCCAAAAATTGATTTGTAGGAGTTCTTAAAAAATTCTGCATGGGAGTCATTTGTTAGCTATATGTATTGTGAATTTTCAGTCTGTGCATTGAATATTAACTTTCCCAATTGTGTCTTTTGATGAACAGATGTTCTAAATGTTAATGATGTTCAGTTTCTAAGTTTCCTTTTGTGGATGGTATAGTAAAGACAAAGAAGAATAAACAGAGATCGTGTGTGGCCTGCAAAGTCTAGAATATTTACTCTCTGGCAGTTTATAGAAAAAATAAAGGTGATCCCTTCATTACATTAATGAATTGAGTATGGGTGCAATTCAAAGTTCAGATTGTTGCTGTAGCTGCCACCATCCTTGTCAAATCTGCTTCAAGATATCCATGAAATTGGTGAGTAATTGGAATGCAGAGTCTGGGCACCAAAAGTGGTGTAAGCTCTCATATTCATGACTTTGCATGCTGGCTAAAACAGCAGAAGGGATCTTATTTCCTCTTTCCAAATTCTTTGTAAGGTGTATAATTGGAGGAAGGCTTTTGATACAGAACCCTAGCTTCAAAGGAGTTTAGAAATGCAGTTTTGAGCATTCCATGGTCTCCATGTAAAAATGTAGAATGAAGGTTGAAAGGTCAATGCAAAGTATCTGCCACAGCCCCCAAGTTTAATTTCTTAAACAACTGATACTGTTTTATCAAAGTAGAACATTTCCATACTGTCTGCTGTTAGGGTGTGATTTCTAACAAAGAAAGTAGCAATAATAGCAAACTGTTAAATGTGTAGTATGGGCCAGTTATAAACCCTTCACATCATTATTTTACTGATTTTATAATGATCCTATGAAGTAGGTAGAATTATAACTTCTATCTCAGAAATGAGAAAACTGAGTCTTAAAGAAAAGTTAAGTAATTTGCCCAAGGTTGTAGAAGTGGTGGTGGAGCTGATTCAAGCTCAAGTATGTCTGAGCTCACACCCTCTAGCAGGCTCCTCAAACTATGGCCGGAGGGCCACATGCGGCCCGCCTAGGACATTTATCCGGCCTGCTGAGTGTTTTTGCCATCGCTGCCGGCCCTCCAACGGTCTGAGGGACAGTGAACTGGCCCCCTGTTTAAAAAGTTTGAGGACCCCTGCCTAGTACATCTAATCCTGTGTAATATTTGAGCGAGGTTAGGAATGATATGGAGAGATGAAAGCAAACCTCAAAAGTATTGTAAATCCTCTTCTCCCATCGAATACACTTATTTATTTATTTATTTTGAGACAGAGTCTATGTTGCCCTTGGTAGAGTGCGGTGGCATCACAGCTCATAGCAATCTCCAACTCTCGGGCTTAATCAATTCTCTTGTCACAGCCTCCCAAGTAGCTGGGACTACAGGTGCTCGCTGCAACGCCCGGCTTTTATTGTTGCAGTTGTCATTGTAATTTTAGCTGGCCCAGGACGGGTTTGAATCCGCCACCGTGGGTGTATGTGGCCCGCACCTACTCACCGAGCTACAGGCACCGCCCAAATACACTTTACAATCCTAGAAAAATTTAGGCTTACAGGTCAATGGATTTAAAACCCTCTGAAGAGCCTAATCTTGTTCATAGATTTAATACCATACTTTGAACATTTACTGATGTCCAGTAAGAACATGAACACACAAAAAAATCATCTGGACTGCTATTTATTCTTTGATCCACATACTATTTAAAAGAATCTTTTCTGTTTAATTAATTAATTTATTTTTTGAGACAAAGTCTCACTTTGTTGCCTTCTGTACAGAATTGTGTCATCACAGTTCACAGCAACCTCCACCTCTTGGGCTCAAGCGATCCTCAGTTTTTCTATTTTAGTAGTGGTGGGGGGTCTCAGTCTTGCTCAGGCTGCACTAGAACTCGAGCTCAAGCAATCCACCCACCTTGGCCTCCCAGAGTGCTAGGATTACAGGAGTGATCCACCCCGCCTGGAAAAAAAATGTTATTTAATTTCTACATGTTTGGGTATTTTGAGATACCTTTTGGGGATTGATTTATAATTTAATTGTGTTCAGAGAACATACTCTGTATGAGTTCCGCTATTTAAAATGTATTGACTTGTTTTATGTCCTAGCAGATGGTCTTTGTGATTTTGTGTCAAGGAATTTCGGTGATGCAGGTGGTAGTGGGAGACACAAGACTGCAGTGGCTTTAGGAGGAAGTGGGGAATGAGGAAGAGGAGATGGATTCTTGGAAACAACATGGGCTCGCCAGCAAAGGAAGGAAGAGAAAGGGGCAAAGGCAGAGGCTCCTGGGGAAAGACTCTCCTTTTCAGATCTCTCCTGTAGGGTCACAGGGTTCTTAGGGGCTGGTGTTCCCTAGGAAGGGAGGTGGCAGCCCGGGCACTGCCTGCTGACGTCAGGGTAGCACTTTAGAGCAACTCGCTCCTCCCCGCCTCACTGCCCGCGGCTCTGACTTCTTGCAGTTACTTCGCGCAGATACTGAGTTTGTGCCTGGAAATCCCTTTCGAGGCCACCGATGGAACGTGCTCTCTCCCCACTTCTGCGGAGATAGTCCCATCCGGATCGTCCTGGGTACCAAACCCCTCTACGTCTGGCGTCTCAGCTTCCAGCTTCCGGCGCCGGACGACGCTCGCGCGGCCGGTCGGCCGGGGTCCCACGAGGGGGCGCTCCCGAGGTTCCGCTGCTCAGGCCCGCGCGGGCTCCGAACCGCGGCGGCTGTGCCAGTCAGTTGCTGAAGCTGTGCGGACGGCCCAGCCCCGCCGCCTTGCCCAGCCCGGGCGACGAGGGGATGGCTGCAGGTGGCACAGCGCCGGCGGGGTGGCGGGAGCCCCTCACCGGCGCTGAGTGGTCCCGGCCGTCGTGGGGCGGCACCGGAAGGGCCATGCGGCGCTGGCTGCGCGGCTGGGTGCTCCCCACCGCGGCCTGTTACGATTACGGTGATGACTACTTACCCTACGGGATCCTCTTCGAAGACCTGGACCGCAATGGGGACGGCGTGGTGGACATCCAGGAGCTCAGGGAGGGGCTGAATAACTGGAGCTCCAGCTTTGGCATGAATGCGGAGGTGAGCGACCGGAATGTGGCAACGGGAGTCTGGAGAGATGGTGGATGAAGTCAAACTTGTCTTCCCCAAAGCTTCTTTCAAAGCCCCATGGAGTAATGGTGGGAGTCTCCTCTTCGTGAGCTTTGTACACGCAGGATAGTATGCCCAAACGAAACATATTCTCAACCTTCTTCTTGAAATGAAATAGTTATTTTTCATAGTGACAAAAGCCTTTGGGGCTTTTTGGAAGATGCTCAGCGTTTCTCGTGGCTCGTTAACATTTACTGAACCAGCACAGAACGTCGGGGGCTGTGGTAGCCTTCGTGCATAAGTAAAAGACCATTTCTTTCTCAGAAGGTTTTCAGCCTCGGAGAGGATGCTTCAGGATTTTCTCTAAATGACAGGCTCAGATGAATGCCACAGAGCCCCCTTTCTGACATCCACATCAAAAGTCTAGGGAAAGTTCAGGTCTTGATCCACGGTTTACACGTACAGCTGATTAAGGGTGCCTTTCTTCTCTAATGTAGTCTTGATTATTTTAAAACTATTTAGATAGAAGTGTCAGGATACCAAGAGAAAAATTATTTGATTTCCCCTAAATAGTCTTCAGATATTACTCCTCCTAATCTCAGCTCTCTTATCAGTGAGCTTTTGTTGTTAGAAGTTCAAACTATCTAGATCTTATTTATTTAGTAATGGCCCGACATAGGAAGGAAGCCTGCTTTCAATTTATAGCCAGTATTTTCAGGCAAGACAGGTGTTTGTTTCAAAGGTGAGGAGTCAGAACATCTGACCTCTTTCTTTGACTTTGAAAGTCACCTTAAATAAGTTGAAGTCTCAACTTATTTATTTATTTATTTTTTTAGATGGATTAGTGTTTTCTGGATGCTTGGTAGAATTTAGTGGTGAAGCCGTCATGTCCTGGACTTTTTTCTTTGTTGGGAGATTTTTGATTATTCATTCTCCTCACTACTTACTGATCTATTCAGATTTTCTGTTTCTTCATGATTTAGTCTTGGTAGGTTTCACGTTTCTAGGAATTTTTCCATTTCATGGGGTTATCCAGTTCATTGGCATATGATTGTACTTAGTATGCTCTTATAATTCTTTTTATTTCTGTAGAAGCAGTAATAATGTCCTCACTTTCATTTCTGATTTTAATAATTTTAATCTCCTTTTCTTAGTCCATCTAGCTAAAGATTTGCCAATTTTGTTGACAAGGCATCAATTTATGGGTTAGTGGATTATCTCTATTACATTTCTTTCATCTGTTTGACGTATATCTTCACTAATCTTAATTTCCTTCCTTCTGATAGCTTTGGGTTTAGTTTGTTTTCTTTCTCATTCCTTAAGTTGTAAAGTTGTTGATTTGAGATCTTTGTTTTTTGACTTTTCAATTTAATTAATTAATTTTTATTAAATTATAACTGCAACTGTGTACATTACTGCAATTATGGGGTACAATGTTTTTTTTTTTTTTTTTGAGACGGAGCCTCAAGCTGTCCCCCTGGGTAGAGTGCCATGGCATCACAGCTCACAGCAACCTCCAACTCCTGGGCTCAAGCGAGTCTCCTGCCTCAGCCTCCCAAGTAGCTGGGACTACAGGCGCCCACCACGACGCCCGGCTATTTTTTGGTTGTAGCCATTATTGTTGTTTGGCGGGTCCGGGGGGGATTCGAACCCGCCACCTTAGGTGTATGTGGCTGGCACCCTAGCCGCTTGAGCCATAGGCACTGAGCCCAATGTTTTGATTTTATATACAATTTGGAATGCTTACATCAAACTGGTTAACATAGCCTTCACCTCGCTTACTTAAATGTTGTATTAAGACATTTATACTCTTAATAAATTTGACATGTGCCCTTGTAACATGCTGTCTTATTTTTTAAAATAGGCATTTATCTCTATAAACATTCCTTTTATTTTATTTTTAATTATTTATTTATTTTTTGAGACAGAGTCTCACTCTGCTGCCCTCTGTAGAGTGCTGTGGCATTATAGCTCAATCTCTTAGGCTCAAGCGATTCTCTTGCCTTAGACTTCCAAGTAGTTGGGACTATAGATGCCCACCACAACACCCGGCTGTTTTGAGAGTTAGGTTCTCACTCTTGCTTAGGCTGGTCTCAAACCTATGAGCTCAGGCAATCTACCCACCTTGGCCTCCCAGAGTGCTAGGATTACAGTCGTGAGCCACTGCGCCTGGCCTAAACATCCTTTTAGTGCTGCTTTTGCCTTATCACATAAGTATGCATTTTATTTTATTTCAAAATATTAGGGAGTATAAATGTTTGTCTTATGTGGTAGCTTTCATAATGCTTAAGTCAGGGCTACTGGTGTGTTTATTACACAGATAGTGTTCACTGTATATGTTAAGTAGGCTTTTTTTTTTATTGTTGAGGATTCATTGAGGGTATAAGAAATCAGGTTACACTGATTGCATTTGTTAGGTAAAGTCCCTCTTACTATTGTGCCTTGCCCCCCAAAAGGTGTGTCACACACTGAGACCCCACCACCCTCTCTCCTTCCCTCTCTCTGCTCTTCCTTCCCCCCACTTCTCCCTCCTTCTTTCTCTCTCAGCTCTCCCCTTCCCCCACCCCCACTGTGTCATTAATTGTCATTAATCGTTCTTATATTGAAGTTGAATACATAGGATTCATGCTTCTCTGATCTTGTGATGCTTTACTAAGAATAATGTGTTCCACTTCCATCCAGGTTAATACAAAGGCTGTAAAGTCTCCATTTTTTTAAATGGTTGAATAGTATTTCATGGCATGTATATACCACAACTTGTTAATCCATTCCTGGGTTGGGGGGCATTTAGGCTATTTCCACATTTTGGTGATTGTAAATTGAGCAGCGATAAACAGTCTAGTGCAAGTGTCCTTATGTTAAGTTAGGTAGGTTTTTAACACTCTCCCCCTCCTGCCTCTCCCTTCTTGATAGCCAAGAACTTTGATGTCTCTCTGTGCCCATGTGTGCCCATCGAGTAGTTCCAAATGATTAAAGGGTATATGTAGTGTTTGTTTTTCCATTTCTGAGATACTTCACTTAAGATAATGGTCTCCAGTTTCATCCAAACTGTGGCAAAAGGCATCATCAATTCATTCCTTTCTGTGGCTAAGTAGTACAAAAACACTAATGAATTTTTGGGGTTGGCAGTTGTTTCATTCTTGGTTCTTGGTGTGCTTTTGGCAGAAGAATGACCAGACTACCCAAAGCAAAGAGAGGGTGAAATAAGGTTTATAGAGGAGGAGAAAGATAGGTTTACAGAGGAAGATATGTTCACCACAGACAACAAATGGGCCCCTGCTGTAATAGAAAATCTCTGGTAATGGTGGGGGACGGGGCGTTGTTTTATACTGCCTGGACTGGGCCCTCGTGGTTCAGACATCACGTCTTCATGGAACCACTTAATGGACTGTTAATAACATGATAATTAGTCTTATGTTGCTCTAGGTCACCTTCCAAATCCTATTGTGCCTGGGCTGCCTGACCTGCAGGCTGAGAGATTCCCTGCCTTGTTTCAAAGATTAGCAGGGGTTCCTTATTCTCCCAGGTGTGGTAGTTGACTGGGGCAGGACTAAGATGAGGTAGCACCAAGACAGGCCACCCTTGTCCTTCCCAGGTGGTACAGTTACTTGAAGCAGCACCAAGGCAAGGAATCCACTTTCATTCCTAATAGAATCTCAGAGGCACCTTGTGATCTATTTAAATTGATGGACACTTAGGTTGATTCTACATCTTTGCAGTTGTGAATTGTGCTTCAGTAAATGGGTGCAGGAATCCTTTTGATAAAATTACTTATTTTCCTCAGGGTAGATACCTGGTTGTGGGATAGATGGATAGAATGGTAGGTCTATACGTGTTTATTTCTTTTCAGGTATCTCCATAGTGTTTTCCATCAAGGTTGTACTCATTTATAGTCCCACTAACACTGTATGTGCTTGGTTCTTTCTGCATCCATGCCAACATGTATTATATAGCCATTCTGCTAAGTGTAAGGTGCTATCTCGTGGTTTTAATTTGAATTTCCCCAATGACAAGTTATTTTGAGTGTCTTTTCATGTTTGTTAGTCATTTGTTTATATTCTTTTGAAAAACTTCTGTTCTTGTCTTTTGCTCACTTTTTAATGGGATTGGGCTTACTGACTTGTTTGAGTTCTTTGTAGATTCTGTATATTAGCTCTTTATTGGATAGTTTGCAAATATTTTCTCTCATTCTGTAGGATGCCTATTTTACTATTGACAGTTTCTTTTACTATTTAGAAGCTTTTAAATAAGTTCCATTTATTTATTTTTGTTGTTGCTGTAATTGCCTGTTGGGTCTCAGTCATAAATTCTTTGCCTAGCCTGCTGTCTAGAAGATTTTTTTCTATATTTTCTTTAGAATTTTATGGTTTCATGCCTTACATTTAAATCCATCTTGAATTAATTTTTATATATTGTTAGAGACAATTTAACTCCTCTGCATGTAGTTATTAAATTTTCCCAGCACTATTTATTGAAGAGGGCTTGCTTTGCCCTGTGTATGTTGTTGTTGACTGATTTGAATACTCTTTTCTTACTCTTACTTCATTGGTCTGGCTAGGACTTCCAGTACTATGTTAGGCATTCTCATATTGTTCCAGTTTTAGGCAGAATGCTTTCAACCTTTCCCCACTCAATATGATGTTGGCTATGGGTTTTTCATATATGGCTTTTTGGGGTATGTTCCCTCTATGTCTAATTTTTTCAGGGTTTTTATTATGAAAGGATCTGGATTTTGTCACATGCTTTTCTTGCATCTATTGAGGTGGTCATATTATCTTTGTTTTTACGTTTGTGTAGTGAATCACATTTATTGATTTATGTATGTTGAACCATCCTTGCATCACTAGGATAAAGCCTACTTGGTCATAGTGAATTATTTTTTCGATGTGCTGTTCAATTCAATTTGCTAATATCTTGTTGAGTTTTGCATCTATACTCATAAGGGATATTGTTCTGTAGTTTTCTTTTTTTGTTGTGTCCTTTCCTGGCTTTGGTATCATGGTGATACTAGATTCATAAAATGAGTTAGAAAGTATTCTCTCTTTATAATATTATAGAATAATTTTTGGTGTTCTTTTTTGTAAGTCTGGTAGACTCTGGCTGTCAGACCAATTGTTGTGAAGCTTTATTTGTTGGGAGATTTTTTTGTTAATGCTTCTATCTCGATGCTCATTTTTGGTCTTTTTGGGATTTGTATTTTCTTCCTCTTGAGAGGTTTTGTGTTTCCAGGAATTTGTCCATTTCCTCTATGTTTTCTAGAGTATGTGCATAGAGATTTTCTTATCTTTTGTTGTTTATTTTTATTTATTTATTTTTTATTAAATCAT